GCTCAGTATGTTTGAAAATCAACTAAGTTTTCTTTTTTATTTCTTTTTCTTTTTTGATAGAAAAAAATTATTTATGTAGCCAAGGCCAACTTATTTCTGCTAAGTGAAAATCTGACCCCAGAAGTATAATATTAAGCTAAAGAGAAACAGGATAAAAATGTGTGTTACAAGATTATTAAATTTGTTGATTTTCCTACATTTTTCATCTAATACTCTAAAGAGGTGCTTCAAATAATAATTCAACTGACAAAAAAATGTGCAAGGTAGAGGTATAATCAGTTTGTTTTTATCTGTGAGATATCAAAAACTGAGTTGATGAATAATGTCCCTGAGCAGAAAGCAGACTCTTGTCACCTCATGGGTCCTTGCAGATGGTGAACTCAACATCATGGGCGCATGAGGGAAGTACAGAGTCTCACTCTCCTTGTTTGACTTACTGACTCAATTTGAATTTTAATATTACTAGGTGATTTATATTTCTCTTGAATTTTGAAAGCCACCAAGTGTGGAGTTGTGGCCACACCATCTAAATAATCAACAACATTTCTTACCAAACAATTACTCCATGCAGTAGAGTTTCCTTAGCTCTCAGTATATTATGATCTTAGCCAATGAAATCTGGAATTTAAGAAAAGAGCATGATAAAAGTATGCTTTTGATGAGCAGAAAACCCTAATGTCCAACAGAACAACAAAACAACCAGGCTTTGTACTTCTGGGAGGTTTACATCTTGATCATGGGACCAATGACAGAACACTATAGAAGAAGTGTGTTTAGCATGGACTGTACAAATTCACCTTTCCTAGGCTGGGGTTGTGGGCTCAGTGCAGAGCACTTATATGTGAGGTACTGGGTTTGATCCTCAGCACCACATATAAATAAATAAAAAATAAAAATCAACAACTAAAAAATATTAAAAAAAGAAATTCGCCTTGTCACTGTGTGACCTTGAATAAATCATTACATGTTTCACTTCTGTAAAATAGGATGGTAACAGGACCTACTTCCTGGGGAGCTATGAAACTTAGATCTGAGTTAGCAGATTCACAGAGCCTACATGCAGGTCTGTGTCACTATATAAGCATTGCATGTTACACATGTCATCTTATCTATAATTCCTAAGTTAAACCATCCTTCTCAACATATTTTCATCGTTTATAAGAAAGTAAATTCGAGGAATTGACTGACTCGCCATGTGGAGAGGTGTCTTCAGAGTATCTTGCCTCAGCCTAGAGGATGCTGTAAAAAAAAAAAAAAATCTCAATTTCCCTCAGTTTACTGTGATCAGTGAGTCAGGCTGGCTGCTTAGTAATTCTGGTTGCTGGAAGAAAAACTCTCAAAATGCAGGTTTGTGGGGAAGGTTTTCAATGGCAAAATGTCTCCTCCTAAGTTGCATAATGGGGGATTTGAAAGCACCCATTTTTAATGGAGCAATTCCAGTTCTGTTTATAAGTAGTTCTTTGCACAGTGGATGTTGATCAAATACTTGCCAAACTACAGAAAGTTATAGCACAGGGGAGAATCTGTAACCACTGGAAGGCTCTCTGAAGTGGAATGAGCTGTCTTGGCAAGTGGTAGGAGCCAGTGCCTGGAGGTTCAAACCAAGGCTGGCACCAATTCCCAGGGCTGCTGTAGAGGAATCTGGTTTAAACTCTGTGTGTGTGCGTATGTGTGCATGTGTGTGTGTATGTGTGTGTGTGTGTGTGTGTACGGGGAGGTGTTAATATCATGGTTCCAAAGGTTTCTGCTCCCTAACTTTCTGCCTACATAGGTCAGAGGCTATCAGGTATGCATGTGAATACCCCAGGCCCTACATCTATGAAAGGCCTCAAGTAAAACCAGGACACTAGATCCTGGGTCAAATGATAAATGACACTACAACTCTAGCTCCAAATGTGATCGGTACTGAAGTTTTAAGTGTTAAAATCATCAATATGTTACATGGAAACACTCATGTTTTTGTCAATTCCTTCAGTATTTGTGAATTTTGTTTTGCTTTGATGCACTAAGAGAACTCCAGAAAGCATATGTGGTCCAAGCTCTCTGAGCCAAGCCTCTCTTGACCTCTGATAAACCTTGTCCTTGCATTTAGTTATTCTAATTGAAGGCAACAATGGACGATCATGGGAACAATAATTCCTTTTCTGTTCTTCTTTTGGTTTGAATGTGTCCCACAAAAGTTTGTATGCTAGAAATTTAACTCTCAGCTTCAAATTTGATGTTATTTGAAAGTGAGGTCTTGGGAAGTAATAAGGTTTGGATGAGGTCATGAGGGCACAGCCCCCATGATGATATTAGTGGATTAATAAAAAGAGGAGAGACCCAAGTTTGCAGGCTTCTGCACTCGGTGGAATAACCTCTGCCATGTTATGACAGTAAGAAGGTTCTTACCAGATGAGGACCATTGATGTTGGACTTCCCAGCTTTAAGAGGTGTAAGAAATAAATTTCTGCTGGTGACACCCACCTGTAATCCCAGCAATTCAGGAGGCTAGCCTCAGCAACTTAGCAAGGCCCTAAGCAACTTAGCAAAACCTTGTCTCAAAAAATAAAAAAGGTGGGGATGTAGCTCAGTGGTTAAGCACCCTTCAGTTCAATCCCGGTAACAATAAAAGAATGAATGAATGAATGAAATTTCTTTATAAATTACCCAGTCTTTGGGATTCTGTAGCACCATAAAATAGACTAAAATATTTCTTTTCTGGAAAATTTAGAAAATATGATTTTCTTTGTGGAGAAGCCCAGAGGATATTTTCCTAGCTAGCAAAGAGGTAAAGCAGTGTAGGTAAGCCTGAGGGCACTCATGTTGGTAAAGATGGTCAGGGCCTGTATAAATTGTCACTATAAAAGGTGTTGGTGATCCACATGGTCTTAAGAGGGCAATTTGAAAATTAAAACACTAAAATAAAATTATAAAATGCAAAATCAAGTCCCATGCAAATCATTATTATTGGAAAGCCTGCCTATGTTTGCCAAGTGAGAAAACTGAGGCTTATATATCATGCACAGTCTTGCATAGATTATGGAGTAACAGAACTAGGATTTAAAACCCTGGTGTCTCTCTCTTGCAAGTTGCTAATGTTAGGTGTTTTCAGGGAAAGGAAAAAGTCTCTCTGAGCAGGTGCACAAATACTCTATCCAAACCAAGCTCTCCATCTTCTCTCTCCCCTTTCCCAGTTGGACTGGGTAGCCATACCATGATGTCTATCAATTGGCTGATGCTGCCTTGGGTGAAAAATCATCAATCTCTCCCTTCCAAGAGCAACCAAGTACTCTGTGTACTCAATCAGTCCTCAACTCCTCTATTCTCTCTTCTCTGACCTCTCACTCTACTCTCTCCAGCTCTGCAGGATTTACTGTGGTTTTTCCCTCTTACCTAACCATTGTCTCCTATCAGCTGTCCCTTGGCCTTTTCTAATAGAGAAAAACTGTCCTGGTAGTGCCAGCAGCACTAAATGGGATTCAAGAGACAAGCCACTTACTGCTCTGAAATCTTTTTTGCTTTAACATCATCTACTGTGTAGTCTCCTAGGAATAATCTGTAGCCCAGATTTGCTAGTCTTTTCTCTGGTGTTTATATGGGGGTAGAGAGGAGAGCTGAAACAGAGAGAAGGCATTACCATCTCTTATGTCAGCTGTTCCAGAATGATAATACCCTCGCCAATGGTATTGGGAAACAATTTTTAGTGGCATGCAGGCAAATATTTTATTTCAGTAGATGTCTATTTATTTTTATGGGTACCTTCTATTTTTGGCAAGGAATGTTGATTTTTCCACTTATGGTGATAGTGTAATATTTTATTTTAAAAATAAAATGACTGAAGAAACAAAGTGATTTTAAAAATACATACTGCTTAAACATATATTTAATATATACAAGTGGACCACAAAAATGGCAAGAGGATGCCTGGGGTTAATGAAGATGTGGCCCAATCTTTGTCTGCCCCAGAGCAGCAGTTATTGAAAAATGTGCCAGTTTTGAACTCCTGGCGTGGGTACTCTTCTTATGTATGGAGTCATGGAGTATCTATGCTTTTTAGAGCACCCCTATATGCAGAAATGGTAGGGGAGGGGCACCCTGAGAATATGAAACCAGGGCCTGCAAAACAGCTATTTTCTCTACCCCCTTGCTGACCCAAATGCTATTTGCAGCCCAGTTGCTACAGTCTAAACATCCTTTAGTGCATTGTATTTTCCAGGTCATTGCCAAGTGGTTGGTTAGCACACCACCAATCTTTGTGGTGGGAGAAATTGGGAGATTTAACAGTGTCCTCCACATCTCAGTAGAGGACCCCCAGCCCTGGTCAGCTGGACACCAAGGCACTTGTCCAAGGGCTATGCAGTCCCTTCTGGCACAAGAACATGCTCATATAGGAGTCATTTCAGGAAAGGAGGTTATGAGCATTTAATTTGTCTTTATTTCCTTCTGCACTGTGACCCAAATTAGCAGTTTGCCCTGTAAATATTTGCATCTTATTAGGCAAAGCAATGTGAAAGTAGCAACTAGTATTTATTATGATAGATGTTTTGCATATATTATACCTTTAACCCTATAAGAAATGATATATTCTCTGGGGGATAAAAATATCTGTATGACCGGGATCACAGATTACTTATTAAATAAGGCTCTCTCTCCTCTTTTTCCTTTTCAAGAAGCTAAATATATTTTTATTGTTTCTTTTTATTTATACATAACATTAGGTATATTTTGACATAATTTCAAAAGCATGTAGTATATGCTTTTTATTAGTTGATAGAAAATTCAGTTTATCACTTGGCAGATGTGGGCTCTGATGCCCTCTAGTGACAGAAAAATTCTTTGGTAAAAGTAATATCCCTATATCCTGCTGTCTCCATAGAGTTGTATAGGCAGTTATCTTTAACTGGTTTGAAGCCAGAATAATAATTTGGAGCAACTGATTTTGGAAATAAAGGATTTGTTATTACTGATAATAAACTCTGATGATACATCAGGATCCTTTTAAGTTGTAAGAATTTGGCTAAGGTAAAAACAGAATTTATTGAGTTAGTAACTGTGGGTAGTACAGGTTTCAATTTCAGGACAATATATACCCATCCAAGACTCTGATGACAGCACCAGCTTTCACCTCTTGATATGGATTCCTCTTCATCATGAAGTTAATTGACAGTTGTAGGGAGGATGGATACAAAGCTCTTTAGATCTGTGTATGGAAATGTCACAATGAAACCCATTGATTTGTAGAACTAATACACACAAATAGTTAAATTTAAGTTTAAAAAGTAATTAATTAAATAACCCAGAATTTTCTAAAATCATTTTCCATGAGATATATTCCTCTACCCATTTCTTTGAACTTGAGCGTAATTAGATGCAGAGGTGGGAGGTGATGAGTGGTGGCAGAAAAAACTAGGCCCTGGGAGCAAGAACATCTAAGATCAATTCCCTCACTCTGCTATTTATTAACTAACCAGCTTTGCCAGTGTTGCTTAAACTTTTTTGGCTATAATTTTTTCAAGGGCAAATCATTTGTGAAAGTTGCTGACTCAGCACTCACACTCAGGAGATGTTGATTTTGCCAGTTGTCCTCCCTTTCTCTTTTTCTCTTCCCTTTTCTTTCCTTCCCTCTTTTCTTGACATTTTACAATTCAAATGAAATTTTTAGAATAGTATAATATTTACAGAAAAGCTGCAAAGATGACCTAGAGGGTCCCCATAGTCCATCCTCCCTTCCTCCACTCACTTCTTTGCATCAGTTATAGGCCCAGACTGAACAAGACCTGCACAGCCAGAGTCCTCTTCAGATGGCATGAACAATCCACCCCAAGGTGAAGCAGAGACAAGTGAATCAATACCAGGCTGAGAGATAAGTGCAGCAACAAATGCAAAACACAGGGTGAGTGCATTCAGGAGTGAGACCTAACCCAGATTTCCAGATTTGGGGGCATGAACAGGCTTCCAGAAGAAAATGTCCACTAAGAGAAAGCCTGAAGGATGAGGAGTGGGCCAGGCAAGGATGCTTCCAGATTAGAGTGCATAAAAAGGTGAGTCCAGCTGAGGTGGAAGACAGGTAGTAGTAGCAAGGTGCTAAGCTTCATGGAGTATGCAAATACTAAAATCTGCACTGATGCAGTTGACTAACTGCTTCTGGACTCAGGCTTATTAATGATGTCACTGCACAGACTTACTTTCTGTAACAATCATGCAAAACCATCTACGGAGATATCTCCTTTTCCAAAATAATAGTCTTTTCCAAAATAATAGTGGCTTTAAGCTGTGTTAATGAGAGCACTAAAGAATTACAAGTTTTTTTTTTTTTTTTTTTAAGAACATTCCTCAGGAAATAATGAGTAACAAAGGAGAGGAAGTCGTTGAGAACCTTTAATACAGCTGGGTTTTTTTTTTTTTTTTTTTTGATTTGTCCTAAGTAGTTAACTTTGTTCTTCTTTTGAGAAATACAACCTAATAGACCCTCCCTTTTCAGAATCCCATAGCACAATATCTACCTTTCCGTTTGATGACTGCCACTTGATACAATATTAAGAGGCTCCTATGAGCAACCGTAAGATCAAGAGCTGAGTGAACGCCAAGTCTTCTGCTGGTGGTTCCCCGCAATTGGCCGAGGCTCCTGCACTCAGGCAGGAGCTACCAACTCTTAGTTCCAGGTTCGGTTCAAGTCTTCTCCAACCTTCCCAGGTTGAACTCCAGGAAAGCTGAGGAAGGAGCAATCGGGTTCTCAGGGTCCTCACCTGAACTGAGCTTGCCAGACAACCGCGGAAACACCCCGGGAGGGGAAATGCCCGTTTGTGCAACAAACCCTGACTCTCCCCTCTCAGGCCTACCCAACCCCCACCTCGCCCCGCCCCGCCCCGCGCAGGCCAAGTTGCTGAATCAATGGAGCCCTCCCTCGGGCGTTCCCCAGCAAAACTTCCCTTCTTCTTGACCCTAGGGGTTTTCTTTAGGTCGTATCTCCTGTCTCAAAAGAAACGGAGTACAGGTGTTCAAAGACGCTTCTGGGAAGAGAGGGAAACAGTTTGAGAACAACTTCGCCGGCGCACCGGGGCGGGCCCTGGCCGAGCACACACCTGGACGCCAGCCAGAGCTCGAGGTGCGGCTCTCCTGGCCGTCACGTCTCCCAGGGCGGGTGACTCGCTCTGCTCCGAGTTGGAGAGGCCCTTTCACTTCGGCGAATTGCTCGACAGCCATGCCCAGGATCTGGGTTCTCCTGCCTCTGGTGATCCCTCTCCCGCTGGGGTGGGGCTTCTCCCGGCTTAGCCCCGGAGCGCGCGCTGGGGGGCGGGGGCGGAACCTACCCGGGAGCTGCAGCGGCGGCAGGTCACCGGTGCTTGGGAATTGGGGCTCGGCGGCCAGCGCGTGCTGCGGGCAGTAGACTAACTAGCTCCGGGTGGTCAAGAAGCCCGGGGACTTGCTTTTCTTGGGGCTTGCTGGGTAGTGCTGAGCCGCAGAGCAGGCGGCGCACCGCCAACGCTTTGCGGGTTGCGGGTGGGGGGCTGCTGTGCTTGACGAAAACTTGGACGTGGGAGGCGGTCAGGGTTGGAGGCAGGGCCCGGGAGACTTTGATGTCGCTGGAGGAGTACCCCGGCCAGGGGTAAGAGGAGATCTTCTGGATTTGTCGTGCAGTGGCAAGCCAAAGGTCCGTTTCGTGACGGGTGGGATCGTGCGCGAGGGCGCTGGATGCCTGGGGCGACGGGGAGCGGTACTGCTAGTTTTCTGACAGTTCTCAAACTTAGGGAGCGAGTCAGTCTTAGGCAGTGGTTCTTGGTGAGTCTTCGGAAGGCACCGTTTGTTTCTTTTGAAAAAGTTATGTCGGACCGAATACACTTCTGGAGGTTTGTTTTCCTCCTTTTTGCAACACAGGAAAAAGAAACTTAAGTTGCTTCCCTTCCGGGAAACTCCTCTCCTTAAGACTGTTAGTCACTGTCTCAGCGGGTTCTGTTGTTGTTTTTCTACCTTCTTTTCCTCTTACCCTACCTCAGCTAGCACTGTCACCATAGTTTCTGAAAGCTTAAGGCTTCTTGCCAGGGTGACACAGCCCACTAAACAAGGTTAACTGGCCAGAAGCCTCTTTTAGAGAGTCTCTTGCTCAGAAAATGCCAGCTTGATGATTGCAAATCTATGGGACTTGGTCCCAAGAGGTTCATTTGAGTTCTGAGAGTCAATGGATTATTGTATTGGGCCCAAACGAAGTCCTGGACACAGTGATAGGAATGTTTTTACAAATATGATCTCAAGTCGGTTTTATGGAAGCCTCATCTTCAGTTACAGAAGGTGAAATGGTGTCAGAGAGCTTAAATAATCCACCTCAGATCACACAGCAGAGCTGAGCTTGAATTTAGATCTAATTCCAATACATGGGCAATTTGCTGATTGCAACTGACTCCTAGAACACATTAAATATAGAAAGGAAAAGTTTGTGTGTCTGAGACCACTTTGTGACCAGAAGAAAAAAAAAATACCCCCTAGTTTTTTCAAAAATAATGTGCAATATTTAGGCTCCTTTAGAAATTTCCTTAGAGAAAATTTAAGATTAAAATTGAGAAATCAATTATACAGCCTCAGAGTATAATCCTCCTAAGTACTCCACAGTTACAGTGTTGGTTGCCTTGACAGTTTCCCAGTTTTTGGACAGGAGTATTAGCAAAGTGTAAGAAAATTGTCAAGGCTTGGAGGTACGTGTATTTAACTTATCTACAGTTATATATTTACTAAGTGATGCATGTCTGAAGCACCAAGGAAACTGCTTTTCCAAAAGAGTGCACACATTCATGCATATGCATACATTTCTTTACATATGATACAATAATATATATAACATTAAAATTAAATAAAACATTTATTATGTATTTATTTAAGAAATTATGGTTTATTAAATAGTGTTATAAGTGCAGATGAATAGAATTTAAAAGTCAGAAAACCCTATCATAACCTAGATAATCATTGTTTATATCTTGTTGTATACTTTCCATTTTCCCTTTTAATATAACTTTTTAAAATTTGCAGAACATGGCCTTGTGCCCACTGCCTGCCCAACATCACATCTGTGTTCTTTAAGAAGTTTCCACATTGCTGTGTCCCCTTGTGTTTTTCCAGAAAAAATGCTTTTTCTACCTCCCTACTTGGTAGTGCTTTATAAGTCGTAGCAATAAGTAAAATGGAGGCAGAATGTTCGTTACATGGAACACGGAAGCAAATTTTGTTTAATTGGGTTAACGAACTGGGAGAAGATGTGACAGCTTGGAGCTGTTTTTATTTTCTCCTTTCCTCTCTGCTTCCCTTCCCTCTCCCTATCCTTGTAGAATTAATTTTTTCTGTCATAGTTTCTGGGTGGATTTTTTTATGGCACTTACAGTAATTAAGTTTGAAATTCCAAAACATTTACAAATTTCTAAAGGAGAAAGAAAAAGTCGAAATAATTTTTTTTTTTTTTTTTGAAAAATACCTTTGGATACTGTGTTAGTTTTGTTTTTGTAAGGTGGTGGTTGTTGTTTTTAAAATAGTGCATGGTTCAAAGAGCTGTTTTTGGGGAAAAAAAGAACAGTTAATTAATTTATAATTTAATAATTTTCCTTAAAGCAGTCCAAAAAGCATGCGATGGGCTGCATGATGTCTCTACTTTTATTTTTTTTTTAATGGATTTTTACTTATCACAAAGGACTTAAAAAGTTTTATGAATACAGTAAAATGATGAAATGTAAATCAAAATGTTAACAGTTAGTATGGAAAATATGTTCATATATAATAACACGATTGAGAGGCAAAAAGTAAGTTGATACTTGAGAGACCATCAGGGGCCCCAGTGATAGCTAGTTCAACAGATGGAAAGTCCTTTACTGTCCATGACAGACACAGTTGTCACTCTTAGAGGTAAAGCATTTAATTTGAAAAAATGTTTTATTTTTTGCACTGAGTTTAGAGGGGAAAAAGGTGAGACAGAGGCAAAGAAAAACCATGATTTGGATATTGTCTCTGAGTAAGTCTCTTTGGGTCAGTGGACAAGTAATTTACTTGTTAACAATCTGAGAGTGGAAGTGTCAGTATTTCAAAAGAATCTGTGAAAGCTATGGAATCTTCATAGCTGATCACTACAGCACAACTGTCAGTTGGAGAGAATCACCATTTTCTGAGATAATCAGAAACCTGAATAAGGAAATCCCCCCCATTGAAAACCCCTACTAACTTAAGTGCTTTTGGTGAATCATCTTGGGTCCCAAAAGTCCCTTAATGAGCACATGTTTTCTAATAGGTTCTAAAGTCCACAGCAACTTGAAACAAAATTTAGGATAGGGAATCATCAATTCCTTCTTGTTAAGTAGGTAAATATAAAAACAAATAATCAGATGAAGTGAAACAAAAAGTAAATACTGAAATAATAAAGTCACTCGTTTTAGATTTATTCAAATCTATTTTTTGTTTTATTTATAACACCCCAGCCTTGTCTATACCTGCACATAATTACATGTATAATCAGTGCTATTTATATTCTGCTTATTGTCATTTTGCATATATGCAAACCATTGTTTCTTTTAATTTTTATTTGATATGTTGTTGAGTTGTGATTACTGAATTTTACTTAAAATTATTATTTAATTTTATTTTACTTATTATTTTTATTAATAATTTCTTATAAAGAAAACATGTCTTACCATAATGGTATACATATCAGCAGATGGACTCAGCCCTTTGAGGTGACCAAGCTTACTGCAGGTTATGTTAAGCTGTAGACTGGGATAAACTTCCAAAATTGGAATAAACTTGTTATTAGATTTATGAATGACAGGCTGTTCTTTGGTCCAGTTATGTAGTGTTATAAATATATAAATAAGGTATATACTTATTCACCTGTATATTCTGTGAGACTATAAAAATTTAAGATGTGAGAAACACAGACACTTGATTTTTCAGGCAGAGATCTTGAAAAAAGAAACCAAAAAAACCCCAGGAGAGACAGAGGAAAGAAAGAGAGAAAGAACACACAAGCTCAGAGTTAAGGCCTTTAACTCCTTGCAGAAGAAATTTTGATGGTTAGTTGTTCTTACAGCAGGGTCTTTGGTCCCATTAAGCTGTTTTTTTTTTTTTTTTTTTCCACATGCATGCTGAAAAATCTAGGCCTGATTTTAAAAATTGGGCCTATACATACAGGAGGACAAATATCATGTGATGTGAGTTACATGTAGAATCCAAAAAAGTTGAACTCATAGAAGTAGAGAGTAGTAAGATGATTATCAGGGGCTGTCAGAGGAAAGTGGCTGGAGAGATGTTGGTCAAAGAATACCAGTTTTTAGTTAGGATGAATGGATTTAGACAGGATGAATAAATTTGAGACATCTTATCACAAAGAAAAACCATTAGTATGTGAGCTAATACAGATTTTAAGCAGCTCGATTTAGTCATTCCATAATGTATATGTATTTTAGAACATGTTGGATATATAAATATGTATAATTTTTGTTCATTAAAAATTTTTTGAAAATTGGCTTTATACTACCCCCAGATTATGTTTTTGTTGAGCCCACATTGTGTCGACACATAAGTATGTACACATGCATTTATTTATTTATTTTTAATATTTGTTGCCACCATTTAAATGTTAGGGCTTTTGGTTTCTCTTGAAAACCTGAAGATCTGAGCGGATATAACACATTGCCTCTGTTTCCCTGAAGCTCAGTAATGGCTGCCCCTTGGATCCGGGTGGAGTGTTGCAGTTGGACAAGCCCGTTCCACTCCTTGTTGTCTATTATATCTGGCTACTTCTGTATTACCTGTGTGGCCCCTGAGACATTTAAGGCCTCTGAGACTCCTGTTTAGGACTCTGTAGCCTTCCCATTACCTGTTTTCTCTGCTCAAAATGACTTCTTTCTTGAGTTATTTTTGGAAAGATCATTAATTCTCCCTGAAAAGCCACATTCTGGTTTGTAGGTGCAAAACACAGATGCTGTTAAGTCTGTAAACTCTTTATCTTCCTCACAAATAAATGTAGTAGCCTACTAACCTCAGATTTTCCTTCCTTTACGTGAATATTGCCAGGGATACATGTTGAAGATGATCATTAGAAGGGCCTGTTCTCAGAGATCCTGATTCCTTGTTGGGTCTGTGGTGTGCTATAAGGTTGTTTTTTTTTTTTTTAAGATGTTGATGGATCTTTATTTTATTCATTTATTTATATGTGGTGCTGAGAATCGAACCTAGTGCTTCACACATGCTAG